GCATTTCCAGCAAGCATCCAAAGGGATTCTTATGTTCACCAAACTAGGGTTAGCAAGCATGTGAGCTGAATTTGACTACAACTGAGTCAAACTGAATGATGCAAACAGAATGTCAATGAAGGAAAATGAAGGAACAAAGGTGGTGTTAAAAATGGCAGGGAAAATATAAAGCATTCTTAATATGCTTGAGAATATTAAGAATATTCTTGAAATAAAATAAACAATCTGGGTATGGTGGCTCACACCAGCAATCCCAGCACTTTAGGGGGCTGAGGCAGAAAAACTGAGTTCCAGACAAGCCTGGGCAACATAGCGAAGTCCTGTGTCTACTAAAAATACAAAAAATTAGCTGGGCATGGTGGCACATGTCTATGGTCCCAGGAACCCGAAGGCTACTTGGGAGGCTGAGACAGAACAATCACTTGAATCCCGTAGGTGGAGGTTGCAGTGAGCCAAGGTTGCACCACTGCACTCCAGCCTGGGCCAGAGTGGGACCTTGTTAAAAAAAGGCACAGAGTAGTAGAGTAGATGGAAAAGTCAAATTGCAATACACAAAGAAAGGATGGCCGGGCACGGTGGCTCACACCTGTAATCCCAGCACTTTGGGAGGCTGAGGTGGGTGGATCACCTGAGGTCAGGAGTTCAAGACCTGCATGGTCAACATGGTGAAACCCTGTCACTATTTCTATAATAAAAAAGTTATTTAAACAAAGAGAAAGGATGACATCATGAGAGAAGATGCAGGTGTTCAAAGACAGGAGGAAGTAATGTACTAAAAACAAACTATATTTGTGCAGTTTAATAGAACATAAAATAGTTCCTTGACAGGAAAAAAAAATAGGAAGCACTGTGCTACATAAATTCAACTTGAAATGCGTTAATGCAGCCATTTGTCATAATCTGTCAGGGCTAGTGAAATGCAAACGATGTTCTTCTTGTTACCGGCAGTAGGCTTCACAGTCAAAAGGCATTCAGATACTGCATGTTCTAACATTCTACATTCTAACAGGAAAATCAATCCATTCACTAGATGGGGGTAGCCATAAAACACACTAGAGCATTCCAAAACACACAATTTACCTTGTTTGTTGGGCCAGATTGTCTTTCTCTGCAGACACATGACCCTTCTTTTGAAAAGCTTTGTCCTCATTCAGTTTTTATTCATGTGACTAAGTGCCAGAGTTTCACTATAATCCTACGTATTCCAACACAGAATTCAGGGTAAAATATTCCAAAATGGATCAGAAGAACTGAAATCCAACATTGCTACACCCATTCTACAGCCCCACGTTGTCCAGTATTGTTATAACTACATGTGGCTGTTTAAGTATAAATTAATTAAAAATTCGATTTTCCCATTATACTAGTCACCACTCAAGTGCTCAGTTGCCACGTGTGGCCAGTGGCTACTTCACTGGACGGTCAGATAGAAAGTCGTTCCGTCATTGTGGAAAACTGTTGGATAGCGTGGACACACACACACTGCCGTCATGAGTCAAGGACCATCAGAATAGCGTTAATGTAAAATGGCTATGTCAGTGCAGCAACCGCGTACCAAACCTTAACTCCATGTGCTAGCTTTAATTTCTGTGTCACGTTGTCTTGTCTCATTACGCTAATCTGTATTAAGATCATTTTTCCTCCCAGGGGCATGTTAGTCATGAGTCATTAGATTGAGTTGCTAAGGAAAGCTGTAGCATCTCCCTGTACACAAAACCATTTGGATACTGGCCCTCTTAGATACTGGTAAGTAGAGCTATGAATTCTGCAAACTTCTTACATTTATTTTGCTCAAATAGAAAGATTTATAGATTTAGCAAAACTCAGTCTACGTGCACAGTGCTGACTTATTAGCACTGCCTATATCCTCACATTAGGTCCCAAATGGGTTGTTTACTGGGTTAGTCACCTACCTTCCCAGAGACTCCGTTTCTTTGACTATAAAAAGGGAATTATGACATCAACGTCACAGATTTGTAGTAAGGATTAAGCACGGTATTGTATAGGAAGTGTGGCCTTCATAAAAGTGGGCAAGAAGTAATCACCAGTGACAACAGTGGCAAGTCAGGTGGAGTGTTAAAGATTCCATTGACTTCTGTACCTCAACCTAGGAATGGCTTTTGCCACTCAAGAGCCAGAGGCTTGCAGCAAAGTCCTCCTCTTACCACCAAGAGTATAGAGCAGAAACCCAATTCACAAATAACCATTGGTGGAGTGGATTTTCTGAGATACGATTCTGTGATCTTCAAAAGCTGCCAGTGAAGAGACATTTGTACACCTGTGCTCCTAATAGCACTATTCACAGTAGCCAAAAGGTATAAACCGCCCAAATGTCTACCGACAGAGGAATGAACAAAATATATACAAAGGAATATTACTCAACCTTAAAAGAGGAGAGAACAAAGTATATGCAATGGAGTGTTATTCAACCTTAGAAATGCCTGCTGCATGCCAACACTTGCTGCAACGTGGATGAACGTTGGAGGCATCATGCCAAGTGCACCAAGCCAGTTACAGAAGGGCAAACCCTGTATGACTCCATTTGTGTGACCCACCTCAAGTATCAAATTCATAACTATAGGAAGTGGAATGGTATTGCCAGTGGTGGTGGGGACGAGAGAATGGGGACTTGTTTGGACTGTTTGCTTTATCTGGAGATGTATTACTATAAAGGTGGCAGACTACATGTTAGGGAAAGACTTCTCCTTCAGGGGGAGGGCACTGACAGATTGTAGTTGTGCCTAGCAAGGCCCAGAATCCTGCTCCAATGGTAACGTAAAAACCTCCTCTCGTTGTGGATGGAACACTGGTCAGCCATGTCACATTGGAGCCTGAGGCAAAAGGATAAATATGCACCCCGATATACACATACAAAGTAGCCTCCACCGTATTTTGAACCCAATAGGAAAAAGTAATAAAAGTTCTACAATTTAAAAATATGACTGAATAGGCCAGGCGCAGTGGCTCATGCCTATAATTCCAGCACTTTGGAAGGCCAAGGTGGGTGGATGACGAGGTGAGGAGATTGAGACCAACCTGGCTAACATGGTGAACCTCCGTTTGTACTAAAAAAAATATATATATAAAATTAGTCAGGTGTGGTGGCACGTGCCTGTAGTCCCAGCTGCTAGGGAGGGCAAGGCAGGAGAATCACTGGAACCCAGGAGGCGGAGGTTGCAGTGAGCCAAGATCATGCCACTACACTCCAGCCTGGTGACAGAGAGAGATTCCATACCAAAAAAATAAAACAAAATAAAAAATATGACTGACTATAACGCACTGTATTGCCCAATCTGTTCACACAGCATCATCACCCCTTATAAACCTGCCTAGTCTTCGGGGCCCAGGAACCTGGAGCTAATCAACAACTATGCTTTATTGCACAAAAACGCCGAGTTGGAAAACAAACAGCCTGTTTTTACTTAAATGATTGCTATTTTGTTAATCATGGATTTTTGCATTAAGTTTTAAAATGTTGCATTAACATATTCTTGCTCTTAATTATTGCATTTTTTGGTGCTCTGTTAAAACTTGTGGCCTCATGTATCATTGCCTTACCCTCATCCTGGTCCTGTGCCTAGAGATGATCCTGAGCTTAACTCCAGTTCTCCTGTGGCGAGAGCTAGAAGTCACAATGGTGGAGCTGTGGCCTTTTAACAGAGAAGGTCAAGGGAACTGTGTCTGTGGAAGTGGGAGGCAGACCAGTGCCATGGTCTGAATGTCACCAAAATTCTAAAGTTGAAACCTAACTACCAAGGTGATAGCATGAGGAAGAGGGGCTTTTGGAAGATGGTTAGGTCATTAAGGCTGAATTATGAGTGGAATTAGTATCCTTCTTACAACGGACCCCAGAGAGCTGCCCTGTCCCTTCTGTCATGGGAGGTCACAGCAAGATGATGGTGTCTACAGACCAGGAAGCAGGCCCTCACTAGACCCCGAATTCACCAGTGCCTGACCCTGGACTTCTCAGCCTCCAGCACTGTGAGATGTAAAGTTGTTTATAAGCCACCCACCTTATGCCATTTTTGTTATAGCAGCTAAAAAAAAAAAAAAAACTAAGACAGCGAGTAACTTGGAGACACTGGTGGGAGCAGGAGAAGGTGGGTAGAAGGATGACCAGGGGTCATCGTGTGGAAAGGCCATGACTGAAAGGTTTCTGGCGCAATGGGATCTGAGGACGACTGAGGCACGGGCTTTCCTTTCTGTATTGCCGGTCCTCGACTTTATTTTCAAGTCTTCAGTAAACTTCCTTAAATGCTACAGTGATTCTTGGGAGAAGGAAGAGCAAAACCAGAAACCACAGGAGGGACAGACTGGCCTGGAGAAGGGTGAAGACTTCACTGAAGAGATATCAAGTGAGAAAACAGAGAGCAAAAGCTTATTATTCAAGTCACAGGCACTAATTCCACACTCCCTGCCACCGATTTAAACTGGAAGTCCTGCAGGGCCCCAAACTTATGCACAAGCTGGAAGTGATGGTCAACCACACCCTGTGGTCATTAGCTAAAAGAGGAGTGATCATTCTAGGACAGACTCACCTGCTGTATATAATAGGATAAACAGACAACACAGATCCTGGAAAACCAACAAAGTCAGCAGCCGCGTCCCTGAACAGAACAAGACCCAAAACAGATGATTTGCCTGCATGAAGATTTGGCTTGAAATGCTTTCCCCCTCCGTGTATATTGCATAGGTACTGACTATGGAAACCACACACTACTTGGCTGCACCTAATAGAGAAAGATGGGGTTTATCACTGGCATGACACCGTGAGTTGCGACATACACACTCATGCCTAAGTGTTTAGCAAATTTTACTTAGTTCTTACATTATACGTTTTCTCTTACTGTCAATGATTGTCAGCAAAATAAAATGCATAACATTCTGAATTAAAGAGCCCCTCCGGAGAACGCTAAAAGACACACCCAGCTGACAGCAATCCAGATTCTAATGGATTCATCTAGAACAAGCAGACTAATTAAACAGTGTAAATGACTTACGTGTCATCTATTTGCATCAGAATCATCTGGGATGCTTGTTAGAAACACCGAGCCCCAGGACCTACCCCAGACCCACCAGATCTGGGGTTAGGCATCCGCCGGCCAGCAACTTCCACAGGTGTTAACTGAAATAAATCATTGAGATCCGAGATTTTTACCCTTCTACAAGGGGTGAGGTAGCCTCCAACCTGGCTCCTACCATTGGGGCTCCATCAGCTGCACAGCTGGCCTTTGAGGACCAGATGACACCTGCCTCCTTGAACCAAGCCCAGGATTTTTTTGAAGAGGGGGAAGATAGTGGGCTGCCAAAGCCCCTGATACATGGCCACGTGGAGACCCCGAGACTCCGTTCTTCAGATTTTAACCTGGCACCCCAAGGAGAGCCACAGGCAAAGTCCTAGGGAAATTCCCCATCTCACCCTGCTATCTTACAAGCACCAAACTCCCTCTGAGATGCCACATACCCTACAGGTGTTATAACTGGAATTTTGGGAGACACAAAGAACCGCTTCAAATGTTGGGAAACCGGCCTTGCTGTGGGATTTGTTCTTTAGCATGGAAGCAAAAGGAGCATCTAATGAACCGCTCTCAGGAAGAATTTTTCTATGTTCTTCAGAACTGCTGGCTTGCACCCCACACATATAAACTTCATGTTGAATGTTCTTCTTTTAAAGAAAATCTTTTAACGCTTTAGTTAAAAGTAAATAATATGCTCGCCAGGCACAGTGACTCACCCTTGCAATCCCAGCACTTTGGGAGGCTGAGGTGGGAGGAATGCTTGAGCCCAGGACTTCGAGAGCAGTTTGGCCAACATGGCGAAATTCTGTCTCTACTGAAAATACAGAAGTTAGCTGGGCATTGCGGTGTGTGCCTGTAGTCCTGGCTCCTTGGGAGGCTGAGGCAGGAAAACCGCTTGAACTCAGAGGCGGAGCTTGCGGTGAGCCAAGACCGCGTCTCTGCACTCCAGTCTGGACGGCAGAGCAAGACCCTGTCTCGTAAATAAATGCAACGCCAATGTCAGTGTTTTAGCTTTGGCAAATATTCCGTGGTAATGTAAGAGGTCAACAATGGGGGACTGGGTAAGAGGTAGAGGGGAACTCTCTGAACTCGCTTTGCAATTTTAAAACATTTCAGGTTACTCCAAACTCAAACGCTTGTTAAATATAAACAAATGAGAATGACCTGTGGTTGCCTGCAGGTCCCCCGGGAGTTTGACGCCACCTCTGCTTCAGGTTCGGGCCTCTCACGCGGAAGCTCAGCCACCAGGAGCTGCACATCCTCTCGCAGCAGGAGCCCTCGGGATGGGGCTTTGGCACTGGCTTTCTTTCCCTCGGGGACGTTTATATACGCAGCCTCGGAGTAATTGGTGGTGCTTCGCGTCCAGGTGCTGCTTCTAGCCCCTGCCCCGCAGCTCTGTCTCCTGGGAAACGATTTCCATCTGGTTAAGACTCTTAAGATTGAAGTCATGTGGAGCTGATCTGCCTACATCTAAGATTTGGCTTGAAATGTATTTCCTATTTATATCCTTTGCACATACATCTACCAAAAGAGCCACACGATATGAGGCACTGCGGGGAGGAGGTGCTGAAGACAGATCTTAGGCTTACCAACTTTACTTGAAATACTTCGTAAGAACACAGTGTAATTTTTTTTGGCAAGTGGGTTTTTAAAATTGTTTTCCACCGTGCTTATTTTCAGAGATAACAATTAAGAGGGGTACATTTTTAAAAAATTTTGAGCGTTGGGCCTTTTAAAAACTCTCTGTTTAAAGAACATGAAGGAAGTAGGGGGAAATGTTCTCTTTGTGAACAAACTCTAATGGAGTGCATTGTGTGAGGCTGAAGGAAAACCTCATTTGGGTAAGATTCTAATTGTATTTTCCCACATAGTGCAAGAGAAGCTGGCAACCTGTATTTTACTGCTCAGAAAAGAAAATACAAGGCTCAACTTGGTTCTGATGCAGAACTCAGGAGCTCCTAAAAGAGCAAGTGGGATGAAATGCTTCCTATTTTATTTCTTCTCTTTAGAAACCGTTAACCCATTGTTTATTTGGAAACTGCTTATGTGGCATGCAGAATATATGAACACAAAAACTGAACATTTATTTACCCAGTATATTAAACATGCTGTGACTGCTTCAAGTTGAGTGACGCACAACTTGTGTCAATGCAAAATTCAATATAGAATTCTGACATGTTAATAAAGCTTTTGGTATAAGGCAATGGATCTTCCTTTTTTTATACATTAAGTTCTGATATATATGTGCAGAACGTGCAGGTTTGTTACATATGTGTACACATGCCATGGTGGTTTGCTGCACCCATCAACTCTTCATCTACCTTGGGTATTTCTCCTAATGTTAGCCCTCCCCTAGCCCACACCCCCTGACAGGCCCTGGAGTGCGATGTTCCCCTCCCTGTGTCCATGTGTTCTCATTGTTCAACTCCCACTTATAAGTGAAAACAGGCGGTGCTTGGTTTTCTGTTCTTGTGTTAGTTTGCTGAGAATGATGGTTTCCAACTTCATTCATGTTCCTGCAAAGGACGGGAACTCATCCTTTTTTATGTCTACATAGTATTCCAAGGTGTATATGTGCCACATTTTCTTTATTCAGTCTATCATTGGTGGACATATGGGTTGCTTCCAAGTCTTTGCTATTGTGAACAGTGCTGCAATAAACATACAAGTGCATGTGTCTATAACAAAGTGATTTATAATCCTTTCAGAATATACCCAGTAATGGGATTGTTGGGGCAAATAGTGTTTCTAGCTCTAGATCCTTGAGGAATCGCCACACTGTCTTCCACAAGGGTTGAACTAATTTACACTCCCACCAGCAGTGTAAAGTGTTCCTATTTCTCCACGTCCTCTCCAGCCTCTGTTGGTTCCTGACTTTTTAATGATCACCATTCTAACTAGCATGAGATGGTATCTCACTGTTTTGATTGCATTTCTCTAATGACCAGTGATAATGAGCTTTTTTTCACATGTTTGTTGGCTGCATATATGTCTCCTTCTGAGAACTGTCTGTTCATATCCTTCATCCAGTTTTTGCTGGTTTTTTTTTTTTCTTGTAAACTTGTTTAAGCTCTTTGTAGATTCTGGATATTAGCCCTTTGTCAGATGGATAGATTGCAAAAATTCTCTCCCATTTTGTAGGTTGCCCATTTAGTCTGATGACATTTTCTTCGGCTGTGCAGAGATCTTTAGTTTAATTAGGTTCCATTTGTCAATTTTGGCTTTTGTTGTCATTGCTTTTGGTGTTTCAGTCATGAAGCCTTTGCCCATGCCTATGTCCTGAATAGTATTGCTTAGGTTTTCTTCTAGGATTTTTATGGTTTTAGGTCTTATGTTTAAGTCTTTAATCCACTTGAGTTAATTTTTGTGTAAGATGCAAGGAAGGGGTCCTGTTTCTCTTTTCTGCATATGGCTAGCTCGTTTTCCCAACACCATTTATTAAGGGACTCCTTTCCCTGTTGCTTGTTTTTGTCAGGTTTGTCAAAGATCAGACGGTTGTAGATGTGTGGTGTTATTTCTGAGGTCTCTGTTCTGTTCCACAGGTCTATATGTCTGTTTTGGTACCAGTACCATGCTGTTTTGGTTACTGTATCATCGTATAGTTTGAAGTCAGGTAGCAGGATACCTCCAACTTTGTTCTATTTGCTTAGGATTGCCTTGACTATATGGGCTCTTTTTTAGTTCCATATGAAATTTAAAATAGTTTTCTTCTAATTCTGTGAAGAAAATCAATGGTAGGTTGTTGGGGATAGCATTGAATCTATAAACTACCTTGGGCAGTATGGCCATTTTCACTATATTGATTCTTCCTAACCATGAGCATGGAATGTTTTTCCATTTGTTTGTGTCCTCTCTTCTTTCCTTGAGCAGTGGTTTGTAGTTCTTTTTGAAGAGGTCCTTCACATCCCTCGTACGTTGTATTCCTAGGTATTGAATTCATTTTGTAGCGACTGTGAATGAGAGTTCACTCATGATTTGGCTCTTGGTTTGTCTGTTACCGATGTATAGGAATGCTTGTGATTTCTACACATTGATTTTGTATCCTGAGGCTTTGCTGAAGTTGCTTATCAGCTTAAGGAGATTTTGGGCTGAGATGATGAGGTTTTCTGTATACAACCATGTCATCTGGAAACAGAGACAATGTAACTTCCTCTCTTCCTATTTGAATACCCTTTATTTCTTTCTCCTGCCTGCTTGCCCTGGCCAGAACTTCCAATACTATGTTGAATAGGAGTGGTGACAGAGGGCATCCTTGTGTTGGCCCAGTTTTCAAAGGAAATGCTTCCAGCTTTTGCCCATTCAGTATGATGTTGGCTGTGGGTTTGTCATAAATAGCTCTTATTTTGAGATACGTTCCATCAATACCTAGTTTATTAAGAGTTTTTAGCATGAAGGGGTGCTGAGTTTTATTGAAGGCCTTTTCTGCATCTTTTGAGATAATCCTGTGTTTTTGTCATTGGTTCTGTTTATGTGATGGATTGCATTGATTGATTTGCGTATGTTGAACCAGCCTGGCATCTTAGGGACGAAGCCGACCTCTTCGTGGTGAATGAGCTTCTTGATTTGCTTCCGGATTCAGTTTGCCAGCATTTTATTGAGGATTTTCACATTAATGTTCATCAGGGATATTGGCCCGACATCTTATTTTTTTATTGTGTCTCAAGGCAGTGGATCTTAACCAGGATTGATTTCATCTCCCCTTCTCCCCCATTTCGCAGTGTCTAAATGCAATGATCATTGTCACAACTGTGATGGAAATGATGCTACTGGCATCTGGTGGGTTAGAGACCAGGGACGCTGCTAGATATGCACAGAACAGCCCCCGCAACAACACAGAATTATTCCACCTGAAATGTCAACAGTGCCAGGAGTGAGAGACTCTGAGTGTAATTAGTGTAGAGCTCACTGTGATACAAAGCAGGTGCTCCCGCAGAGCAAAGCAGGAAAGATCACATTCTGCTGGGACGATCAAAGATTTCAAAAATTCTTTAAGTGGGTTTTTCTGTGGTCCAAAATTCCCAATTTTTCCTTGAGTGTTAGAGGTCCTCTGGCCTCCCTAAATATTTCTGCATGTCAGTCAATACATGGTCATTGAAAGGCCTTGCTTTCTTAGCCCAGTAACTCGACATCTCTGTATTTCAGGTTTTTTTCCACTGAAAAGTGAGATTCGATTCAGAGGCCCAAGGTATCTCCTGGTTTTGAACAGTTCTCACTGTTTAAAAAAAAAATTTTTTTTTTAAACAGAGACAGGGGTTTCACCATGTTGCATAGGCTGGCTTTGAACTCCTGGACTCAAGTCATCCTCCCACTTACAGCCTCCCAAAATGTTGGGATTATAAGCATAAGCCACCACACCTGGGTGACAGTTCTCATTTTTAACTCTCTACCTGGTGGCCCTATGTATGCTAGATGCACCTGAGAGCAGTAATTTAACTTAAGCATACTCTGTATGGCAGATGTACCTGACAGCCTAACTTCACTTAAGATATGAGGGTTGCCATGTGGGGGCTGTGTGGAGGGACATGAGGTTGGGGGAAGGAGTGTTAAGGAAAAATGCTACACAAACAGCATGCTTTTTTTAAGTGGTAGTGGTTCTTCTGTCTGGCCACTGCCACCGGACTGCCCTGTAAGTTCCCAAATGAACCCTCTGTTTCATCTGCTGGCTCCAGGTCCCTTCTTCAGCCTTGTGAACCTGGTGCCATCCCTACTGAAGTTAATAGGGGTCCTACAACCCATAGGACAGAATTCTCAGTCATTTGCGGGTAATGCTCTCCTTTGAGAATCACCCACTAATATGCATGTAACACAACATTTTGCTTATAGTTTCAGGAGATCCATAGGCCCCTGGAGCCCGTTTCTGGCCCTTCTAAGAGAATGTGAACCCCAGGTTAAACATTTCTGTGCCAAATGTTCCTGAGCAGCTACGTTTTGCTGGGTCTAGCTCATCCCTTGGAACCTGATCCAACCGTATTCCCGAAGCTACCAGACTCTCTTCCACGCCACATCAATCTGTTTCTTGTTTTCCTATCATGAAATTATGTATTCTGCTACTGCCATTTTACTAGAATTCCTTTAATCTCATGGCTTTGTCCAAACCCGATTCACATGGCAGATGCTCTATCTCACCCATGAGGATGGGCTATAACTACTCCGAGTCCTAGACAGTGTTTCCAATGAGTTTCCTTCAGCTCTGGGAGCCGCCAGTGAATGTGCACCTGGGGCCCTAGGCAAAGAACACCTGCTTTAAGGAGCTTAAGGAAGACCATGAGGGAAGTCTTCTCTTAGCCCTCAGTTACATCACGATGCACAGAAAATGCTGACACTCCTCAGAAAACACGTGCCAAGAACCCCTTTGCTACTGTGAACAGACTCTGAAGACCCTAGAGCTACACAGTTCAATAA